CATATATATATATATATATATATATATATATATATTTAAAAGTATGTAATTTAAAAAAATCATTTAATTATTTTAAAATAAAGAAAAATTATTTAATTATTTATTTTAATAAACAAAAAGTAAATTATATTTTATTAACTAAATGTAAAATTATTTAACCTAAAATATTAATAAATGGTATATATAGAAAAAAAAAGTTATTGAATCTAAATTTAGATTCCTCAAATATTTTAAAAGAAAAAAAAAATTGAAGGACAAACCACCAAGTCAATGTGGTCAACGTTAAGTCATCAGTCACCCACCCAACTTAATACTTAAGTTTATAAAGCGTGTAGACTGGTCCACAGTTGTTTATACACAAAAATAGAATGATTTTTTTTCTACTTTAAATTTTTTATATGATTTAAAATAAAATTAAAATTCAGAACGTTTTCTCAAATTAAATAATTCCTAATATATCCAAACGCGTCTTCATATTACATGGGAAAATGAATCTAACGTGAACAAAAACACTTTTGGTAAAGGGAGAATTAATTTTCAGAAACTGAAATTAATTTTTTTTCTTATTTAACTAAAATTTATATTCTAAATTAAATTAGATTACTCAATTAATATTTGTATATTTTAATTAGTTTTATTCTACTATTTATATGTAAAGCAAAATCAGATTATATTTTTTTACTATTTATTTTAAAATTATACTTTTTTTCTCTGCTTTGTACAATACAAAGATTTAGTTTGAAATTAACTATTCTAAAATCGAATTCTAAGTGGTTTTTAAGTATCCCATTATTTTCTTATAATACCAAGAGTGTGTTTGCTTATACTTTTGGTTTTTTTTTAGATAAATTTATAATAATGAGATATTCAAATCCATTAAATTTGAATTAATCATATTTTAAATTGTTTACTTTTTCTTTATATATTATGTTTTGATAAATTATTTCAAATTTTTGTAAATTTAATTTTTTTATTTGGATAAAGTATTTTAATTATACTCATTTAAAGTTAGGACAAACTAATTTAGATTTGACTTAAATCAAGTCGACTTGATACTAGTTCAAATTAAACCATTTTATTTGAGTTAAGTGTCAGTCAAGTAATTCTAAAACTTAATTGAGTTGTATTGACCTAGGTTTAGATCAGACTAAGTTAACCCAATTACAAATCAATATAAATTAGTTTAAATGAAAATAAAGTAAAATTAGATTTAGCTAAATTCAAACCGAATCAATTTAAAGTTAAGTCAATATGAATAGATTCAAATTCAAGTGAAATTTTTTAATTTAATTTTACGTAATACAATTAGTAAAACTATAATAAAATTTTATAATTTTAATTTTTTTTAAACTTTTTTGTAAAGACCTGAAAATAGAGTATTATAGAGCAGATTGGTGTATTAGAATAATGAGATAGATTATTTTACTTTAAAATAATCTTATAATATAAATAGAATTCTTATAAACACTTCTCATTATTCTAAGAACATTTCATCTCTCTAGAACTCTATTCCTCAGAGTTATGTGAATTCTCTCTAAGATTTCTTCTTGCTGAGTTATCTGTTCAACGATCAGGAAGTGCCTAGGCGATCCTGGCGTTGAGGGCTCGATTTTGGACCGATCAGTTTCTCGTTCTTCAGCTGGTAAGTTGTCTCCCTTTTCTGTCCGTTCTTCTCTGAGTTGTGAGCATGCAATGATTCTGGTTGCATGTGATTAACTAGTATTTCCTTCCTTTTCTAGCTCAATTTAGGTTATAAGTGTTATTCTCTATCACCAATTGGTGAGTTGTAGGTTTCTGTTGAGTTTTCTTGTTGTGCAAGGTACGACTGAAACGTTTCTGGTTTGGGACTGTGTATCTCTGAGGTAAGGGAAGCTAGGTTGTGGTTTAATTATCAGTTGTTGTTGTATGTTAGGAATTCTATGATTAAGTGTTGTGCAGTTAACATTTCAGCTTATGAATGTATGTTCCTCACTGTTAAAATGGTAGAAACTGTGAATTATGATTGATGAATTGATTTGGATTAATCTATATGCTGTAATGTGTGCAAATTGTGATTGTTATTGACTGAGATATGTTGTAGTGTTGAGGAAGTATAGGGTAATGTGAATTTTGGACTGGTTTAGTGTATTTGAGAGGAAGTGAGATAGTGAATTTGAGTAGTAGTGGTCAAGGGCTGTTAGAACTGCTGGGGTAGTGTAGATAGGTCATATGTGACTGGTTTGAGTCACCACAATGGTCAAAAACAGGTTCCAAGTAGTAGATTTGGTTTTGGGTCTATAAGTTGATGAATTGGAGGTTTTAGAGTAGAGATTTGTGTATAAACACTTGAGATTGGTGTTAGTAATGTTTAGAACCCTTTAGTCAAGTTTAATTTAGTATATATATCGAATTAGAAGTGTTAGAAGTTGGCCAAGTTGAGTGGAAGTGGTAAAGAGTGGTTGAGTTGTGTAATTCTGCAGAATTTCGTTCTGCAGATTATGCAGACTCGCTGTGCGAATGGATTTGCATAGCGAGTTACCTTGGCGAGGTGCTCTCTGCCAATGTACCCGCATAGCGAATGGGTGCGCTGTGCGAGTGAATTGAGAGGGTTGCTCTATGTTTGTCAATCCGCAAAGCGAATTAGATCGCTATGCGACTGGTTGGGGTCTGGAACTATTATTCAGTTTATTTGATTAGCGAGTGGGTCTCGCTCTGCGAGTGGTTGGGGGTGTCAAGTCTCTGGATGAGGTTTTGGAGTAGCGAGATTGGGTCGCTATGCGAGGGGTAGGGGTCTGATGCTTTTCATACTTTATTCGTATAGCCAGTTTAGCCGCTATGCGAGAGATCCAGAGTAGTTGGTCTCTGTCTAAGGTTTTCCGCAAGGCGAGTTAGGTCGTTGTGCGAGAAGCTTATAGCCTCGCTAGGCGAGTGTGTGCGCTATGCGAGGGGTACGTTCTAGTTCAAGTTTTGTGTACTCTTATGTTGTTTGATATGAATCAATGAGTGTTGTATGAAGTAAGTTGAGGTTGTATCATGTAATATCTGTGGTGATTGTGGTATGTTATAATCAAAAAGTGTAAAGTTTCAGTATGGTATGGACGTAATTCCATGATCCTCAAGGAGAGGAGACATGGTGGTGCCTTGTTGTGATTCAAAGTGGAATCTCTAGTTGAGATTCAAGTAAGTTTAGAATGAATGTAGGAGCTTAGTCTTGGGGGTTATCCTGAAACTCCAATAGTCTTTCATTCTCAAGTAGAGAGGATTGATCCATGTCGTGAGGAGTAGCAGGAGGTCCTAGTCTTGGGTGCTTCCAATATGGCCCAAGGTGAGTGATAACGGACTAACCTCGTGAGTGTGGTAGGGTGAAACCCATTGGCAATGGCTTTGCAAAGCAGTAGAAGCCACCACGAGTGCAAGACCTGTCATAGCTCGGCAATCATTCTAAGTCCGGACAGTCAGAGTCAGTGTGTGTTATGTATGAAGGGTTCAAGTGATGTGAATGTATAATATGCTTGTATGAATTGAAATAAATTGTTGTATGATTTATCTTTGTTTAAACTAGCTTACCCTGTTGTGTGCTTATGTTTTGTATGTTATGCTGTTCTTCTTCTGCGATGACCATCCTTTGGATGTGAGCAGCAGAAGAAGGGGTCTCTTTGGAGCAAGCCTTGGATGGAGGCGATGCTGCTGCTGAGTAGTAATTTCTGTTCTTTAGAGCCTTGTATATAGTTTTGGAATATTCTTCAGTCTGTATATAAAGTTTTAAATTTATAGTTGTTTTTGGATGACTGTAAAAATATCACTTTATGTCTTAGATGAATAACTGTACTTTTTCTTTATCATACATGTTGCTTCTCTTTATTATAGTTTACACTATATATATTGGGATGTTACATTTTTTATCTAAATAACATATTTTATTATAAATTTTTTGGAATTCATAAAAAAATAATTACCCTATTTAAACCAAAGCATTTTCCAGTTAATGAAAAACAAAATCAAATTTATATATATATATATATAAAATGTACTTAATAGAAATTCATTGATTTTAACTCCTTTTTGCACCTGTACATTAATTTTGTAGCAAAACAGAAAATTATGGTTATTCCCTTATATTCTATTCATATTAATTCAACACTTCAGAAGTTTCATAATTTGGATACCACGGTTTCTTTAAGATACAAGAAAAATTATTGGAACATATTAAGTTAAAAATTAATGGTTTATAAACTAGATATATACAAGTTTCTTTCCTCTTTATTTTTAATTTAAGGTTTAATTTTTGTTTTTTATTAAATTATTATTTAATCAATATTTAAATGCATATCTGCATACCATCAAACTTTTGCTTCTGTAACTATCATATAGGATCTACGATTTAATAAAATAACTATTGACATATATGTTATAATATGATTACAAAATAATAATTTTAATATAAAATTTTTAATTCTATTAATTTTATTCAAATTTAAGATTTTTTTAATTTACAGTTATCCTATAAAATTATCTAACAGTTATTAAAAATTTTAAAGACCTATTTAATTATCTTAATTATTACCATTAATAAAATTTAAATAAGACATATTTAAAATTAATGTGTCATAATGATTTTATTATACCGAGAATAAATGAATAGTTATTATTTTATATTCACTAGTGATTTATATTTATAATAGTAAAGGTTTAAAAACTTTAAAAAAGATAAGATTTCACAGTAAAGTTTAACTACAATTCTTTTATTTTATTTTTTTAACTTTTAAAATATAAATTTAAAGTTTAACTACAATTCTTTTATTTTATTTTTTTAACTTTTAAAATATAAATTTAAAAGTTGACGTGAGAAAGTCGTCGGCAATGATTTGTGGTCGTCATTATTGTATTGTTAGAACTTTCAACCAATGAGTAGAATGGTTGCGATTTGCTCCTAAGCATTGCTCCTGAGGCTTCACTTTCGACGGCAACAAAGAAGGTTGGTCTCTTCCATGTCTCTCTCAGGTAGCGATGATGAGATGGAAATGGATTTTCTTCGTGAGCGGTACCAGGAAATGGACGGCGGAAACTTTGAAGTGTTTCTGAGTTTCAGAGGGGAAGATACTCGTTCTTCTTTCACTTCGCATCTCTACACGGCTCTTCAGAATGCAGGAATCTTTGTTTTCAAGGATGACGAGTCACTTCCACGGGGAAAGCAAATTTCACCCTCTTTGCGGCTAGCCATCCAAGAGTCTCGAATTTCTATTGTTGTTTTCTCAAAAAATTATGCAGAGTCGTTTTGGTGTATGAAAGAGTTGGAGAAAATAATGGAGTGTCACAGAACCATAGGGAATGTGGTACTACCAGTGTTTTACGACGTTGACCCCTCTGAAGTACGTCATCAAAGAGGCGACTTTGGGAAAGCATTTCAACATCTTTTAAGCAAGTTTTCTAAAGAGGAGGAGAAAAAGGTTCTGGATTGGAAGCAGAGTTGGTGGAAGACTCTTCGTGAGAGTTGGTGGAAGATTCTTCGTGAGATTGGTGGCATCTCAGCGGTTGAAATCCTATGTTCCAGGCAATGAAGCTTCTCTGCTTCCTCAGATTGATATTAATCTTCCTATATCACAGATTTTTACACAACATTGTTTCCAAGAATAACATTTTTCAAATTCATAACGTGTATGTAGTAGGATGGAAAGAGTAGACAAACTCCAGGACCATTGGAAAGAGACACTTCTTGAGGTTGTACAGATCTCAAAGATTTTAGACTTAAATCCAAGGTAATAGAAAGTCTTCGTGCTTTATTAATTTTTACTGAACATTGTCTGTCAAAATAATAATCATGGTATTCATCACATGTATTAAGGGGGAAAATGAATATTGCTGAAAGTATAGAGATCCTCGTGAGGCAGTCGATGGCGGGACTTTTTAAAGGTGCTGAAATCCCATTTAGGTTTGTAGGAAACTTTGGGTAATTGAAATATTTCCTGCTTTCATGTACATTTTCTCTAAAAATAACATTTATGAAATTCGCAACTTGTGTGAATCAGAAAAGAGAAGATTGATGATCCGATGGACTTCCTCGTGAAGCAATGGAGGGAGGTATTTTGTGAGCCTGTTAGCACCTCAGAGGTTGCATTACTAGATCCATGGTAATTCAAACACTTTCTTCTATTGCATCACTGTATAGGTTATAATATTAACTAGGTTACATTATAACCTGTTTCAATCAATCATATCAAACATTCTGCACATTATTAACAAAATAAGTGGGGTAACCAAATCAAACCTAATAGGAAAACCTAAAATGTGGAATATCACGTCTATTCTAGATATTTGTTTTCAATTCTGCTACAACCTTGTTCACTACCATCTTTTCAACATACTCAACTTTCCATTATATCCCTTTGATGAGATTCGGTAGGTTGGGCCAAACTAGTACCTGCCTTCTAATGAAAAGACAACAAGATTGAACAAACGTAGAAAATGGATCCCCTTTTTGTATTATTCAACAATTATCAACTCAAAGCTCAAGCTTCCGCTTACAGAGAACAATTCTTCCTTTCACACAGGACATTTCCTATCACAACAAAAATCCTTCCTATCTTAACATTCTGCAAGAATATAAAGACTTTGTCAGAAGTTTCACTCCCTGTAACAACTAACTACTATTTTTTTTTCTCAGCAAAAAAGAATACAATAAATTTCTTCCTATAATACACTTTGGAACCCCTCTCATTACTTCCTTGCTTAACACAATATTTTTGTGTTGATATGTGATGCTACTCAACTAACATCAAAATTTGACTACTTAAAGGATAAGTGATCAGTAGTTTCATGTAACAATAAAGTAGTTTCATGCAACAATCACGGAAAGAAAGGAACAACTATAGTTACACAATTCCTAATGAACTCATCTCTAGGGTCCAAAGAATAAAGGTCTTAGAAGGAGGAGTTGAGAAATAAAAGAGACTATATTCGACAGAGTTTGAGACAGCTTGAACACTCATCTCATACGTTTTCATATTTATATTGATATAATTTTGATACAGTAAGCATAAGGAAGAGCAAAGATCAACCTAAATTCTTAAGTACAAATAAGTATAACTCATAGGTACATTATATAGCAATTTTCCAATACAACTACTTCCTACCTATATTTAATGAAACTAACTCCTTCCTATATTTAGTATCTATTCTAACACTCTTCCTCAAGATGGAGCATACAAATTGCATGTACTTGGAACAAAATAATTCAATTTGAGGTCCCCTTAAGGATTTTGTTAACACATAAGCAAGTTATTGATTTGACAAACTTAGTACAAATTTCCTTGGACAACATCTTTTCCTAAACAAAGTGAAATTTCTATATTTTTAGTTCTATGATGAAAACACTGGATTGGAAGCAATGTGGTGAGTAGCTTGGTTTTCACAATACATTTTGATTTTCTAAATCTCACAAAAGTTAAGTTCTTAAAGGAATTGTTTCACCAATATAAAGTAAGAGACACCATTGCCCTATATAACTTCAGTTGTTAATTAGACAACTATATTTTATTTCTTAATTTTCCAAGATATAATGTTTCCCTGAAGGAAAATATTACATACTATAGTAGAGCCTACTGAAGGAAAATATTACATACTATAGTAGAGCCTACCTAAGTAGTATCACAATACCTAGAGATTTGGGTATTTCCTTTATCTTCATATAGCAGACCTTTTCTTGGAGTCCTTTTTGAGGTATCTTAGGATACCAAGCATTCCAATGGTTAATACAAGGAGTCTACATTATTGATTAAAAACATCAATTGCAAAAGATAGATCTGGTCTAGTAATAGTAAGTTAAATAAGTTTTCTGTCAGTTAATATGGTTGGTTTGTTCTGCTCAGTTGTAAAACTCATTTGCTATATAAATTGGTATAGCACTGTTTAATGAGATGAGTTGAAATTCTTACTGTATTACAAATGCTTCCTAGTTTTCTGTTTCTACTTCGCTTACGAAATTGATTACATATATATACAGTGGAGAAACAGGGATTGCTAATGCGATAAAATTACACGTGAAGCATTGTAGGGAGGCACTTTTTGAGGCTGCTGGCATCTCAGGGGACGCAGTCTTGAATTCCTGGTAATTGAAACATTTAAGGCATGATCATGTTTTCACTAAATATTGTCTCTAAAAAATAACATTTATGAAATTCATCACATAAATGAAGCGGAGAAATGGAGATTAGTAATGCGATAGAACTCCACATGGAACATTGGAGGGACGCATTTTCTGAGGAAGCTGGTACCATTTTAGATTCCAATGATTTAGGGTAATTGAAACACTTTCTGCTTTCGTAGAGTTATGATACACTTTCTCTAAAAGTAAATTTATGAAATTGGTAACGTTTATCAAGTTCTGTACTGGGGATGGTTCATTCTGAGATATGGTACCTCCAGCATCATTGGTGGGAGAAAGTTCGTGAGGCTTATGGTAGTAGATATTTGGATAACCTACTATATTCCGGGTAATTGAAACAGTTCCACCTTTCAAATTTCTACTGTACTTTATTTTTCCCAAACATAATATCTATGAAATTCATAACATCTATCAAGGACAAAAATTGACATAGAAGTCCACTTGGAGAATTGCACTAAGGCTCTTCATGAGGCTATTGCCATCCCAAGAGGTGCAGTCTCTATATCAAGGTAAGAGGACCTTTAGTAACTCTCTTAAAACCTTTTATTTTTCAACACTCTCTTCTGTTGGTTGAAACTCGTTTTGTTTCTATCATTAACACTTAATTTACTACTTATCATCATAATACAACATATATATATATATATATATATATATATATATATAATAAACCTCAAATTCATTCAATTAAAAAAGTGATACCAAAGGAGTTTCCTTTTTCTTTATTGGAATTTAATATCACTCAAATTTCCATTTTAAATTTCTTTTACCCTCAAATTTCCTTTTAAATTTCAGCTTTTCAGAAAAATTAAAATCGATGACACTTTATTTTTGTTCCCATACTTAAAAAAGTTAAAAAAAAAATACATTTGCATCTAATGATTTCAATCTTATATTATCAAACCAAACTTATTTGCACTAAAAATAATCGTATCTTAAATCAACATGTATCTCTGATTTTTAAACTAGAATTTAAACCAGTTGCGAACTTAAACCAACCAATTTCATTAAATACTTGCACAACTATTTCAACCACAAACAATTCATAACAAATTATGCATAAAATATTTTATTGTGACTATTATCACCAAGCCAGATATAGACAGTGGAAATCTTTTACCCTAAAATTTTATCATAAATAAAACTAATTTTTCTTACCTTTTTAATTTTATTTTCTTCTGATTAAGCTTAAGCTCCCAGCTTCACTACTATCATAGAAAGGCTAACTTGTGGATAAAATACTTTGATCAGTGATCTAAACATACTATCATGCTCTAGAGTAATGGAGGTTTGTTTTTGCCCCAAAAATGTCACGTTTAAAACCCTATCTTAAGCATGAAACCCTTCTCCAAAACTAACACAAGAAAAGAAAAGGGCAAATAAAAACTTGCTCAAAAGTGTTCTGCTCTCAACCAGGATCTCTAAGGTGAAAGGATGAATGACTATTTCAGAAATTTGGAGTGAAGGCAAAAAAAAAAAAAAGATTTTAGAGAGATGGTGATGATTTTTGTCAAATAAATTTCGAATAAATAACTTTTTCTATATATAAGTTTTATAGCTTAAATAAAAAATATTCATATTTCATCTCATTTAAACTACTTCTACTCTTAAATAATTTAACTTGGTCCTTACATTTTCTCTCATTTTATGAACATTCTTCATGGTTTAGAAATTAAACCTATATAAAGTTGAAAGTTCTAATGAATTTAAACAAATAGTAAAGGTTAGAAAGAGTGTTAAAGAGATTCTCACTACCACTCCTCTTGGAGAGATAATTGAAACACTTTGTGTTTTCATGTTGTTACTTAACATTGTGTCTGATACTAACATTTATTAAATTCATGACATTATGACAGTTTTCAAAAGCTGAAGGCTTACAATCGGATAGAGAGCCTTGTAGAATTTTGGAGGATCGCACTCTGTGAGGCTGCTGAAATTTCGAGGTTGGTAGTCCAGCACTACAGGTAATGAAACACCCATCTTGTCCCAATTTTACTGAACTTCGTCTCTAAAAATACTAAATAACATCCATAATATCTATGAAGAGGAATAACGGATAATGAGATCAACTACATCGAGAAGCATGCTAGGGACGCACTTCATGAAGCTGCTGGCATCTCCGGGGTTGTAATCCTTAATTCTAGGTAATGAAACACTTCTACTTTCTCTGATTATTTTTTGTCATATTCTGAAGGATAGTTATTAACACATGTGCTACAAAATAGTTCATAGAAAAAACAGTGCATTAGATAAACTTATTGAAGTAACACAGAGTTGTACAAGTATAACTTTTTAATCAAATTTTGCTTTTATATTGATGCATATAGCGCGGGTTTCCTTGTAGGAATGAAAGTGAAGCTGTGAAAAATATTGTTAAAAATGTTACAAGTTTGTTGGACAAGATAGAGTTGTTTGTTGCCCATAATCCTGTCGGAGTAGAATCTCGAGTGCAAGAAATGGTTCAATTGCTACAACAAAAACAATCAAACGATGTTCTACTACTTGGGGTATGGGGGATGGGAGGCATCGGTAAAACAACTATTGCAAAAGCAATTTACAATAAGATTGGGCAAAATTTTGAGGGAAGGAGTTTCCTTGCAGATATTAGGGACGTTTGGGGGCAAGAAGCTGGCCACGTTTGCTTACAACAACAACTTCTATTTGATATCCACAAAGAAAACAATATAAAGATACATAACATTGAATCAGGAAAAGTTATACTAAGAGAAAGACTTCGCCATAAAAGGATACTTCTTATACTTGATGATGTAAATAAATTACAGCAATTAAATGCTTTGTGTGGAAATCGTGAATGGTTTGGTTCAGGGAGTAGAATAATCATCACAACCAGAGACATACATTTACTTAGAGGGAAAAGAGTTGATCAAGTTTTCGCAATGACAGGAATGAATGTAGATGAATCTATTGAGCTTTTTAGTTGGCATGCATTTAAACAAGCAAGTCCCAAAGAAGATTTTATTGAACTTTCAAGAAACGTAGTTGCTTATGCTGGGGGCTTGCCACTTGCTCTTGAAGTCCTTGGGTCTTATTTGTTTGATATGGAGGTAACAGAATGGAAGACTGTATTGGAAAAACTTAGGAAAATTCCTAATGATGAAGTACAGGAGAAGTTAAAAATAAGCTATGATGGTTTAAGTGATGATACTGAGAAAGGAATATTCCTTGACATAGCATGTTTCTTTATAGGAAAGGATCGAAATGATGTTATACATATATTGAATGGTTGTGGACTTTTCGCAGAAAATGGAATACGTGTCTTGGTAGAGCGAAGTCTTGTAACTGTGGATGATAAGAACCAACTTGGAATGCATGATTTGCTACGGGACATGGGAAGGGAAATAATTCGTTCAAAATCACCAATGGAGCTTGAGGAGCGTAGCAGGTTATGGTTTCATGAGGATGTGCTTGATGTGTTATCAAAAGAAACTGTAAGACCTTCATTTGTTATTTTATTATTACAAATATATAAAGCTAAAGGAAACAATATACACCTTTGTAAGTTGGCTGTTTTAGCATTCATTTGGTCAATTGCTTGTCACAAGAATTTTTAAAAATTGTTTGGTTGTGAACTGTTCGTTTCCTCTTATAGCTCCTACAGAAAAAATTATGGTCTTTTTCATAAGTGATTTTACTGTCATATATCTTTAGCTATGCATATTTTACCGTTCCTTTTTTCTGTGATAGGGAACAAAATTTATTGAGGGATTGACTTTGAAGTTACCTAGAAGTAATACAAAATCTCTGTGCACTAAAGCATTTATGAACATGAAGAAACTCAGGTTGCTGCAACTTTCTGGTGTAGAACTTGTTGGAGATTTTGAATATCTTTCCAAAGACCTGAGATGGCTTTGTTGGCATGGATTTCCTTTTGCCTTCATACCAACAAGCTTTTATCAAGGAAGTCTAGTTTCTATTGAGTTAGAAAATAGTAAGATTACCATGGTGTGGAAAGCGACTCAGGTATTTAGTTTTTTGGATTTCATGCGTTGTTCTTTTTTTTTTTTTTATTTAAATCATATTAAGCATTATTATGAAACTTTAACATCCGAACTAGGTTGACATTTTAAAGTTTCAAGAATCACATGCCACCACATGAAAAATCAGTAAAAGAAAGGAAAAAGATACAAGGAAAATGAAGGGACAAAACCAAACTCATGCAGAGAATAAACAACCTCTAAACAAAAGGCTTAAAAAATGAAAACGAATGCGGGAAGGTAAAGCTTATCAATAAAATTGATATTACAAATACTTGGGATGTGCCAACCAATGCCATTAAAGGCATCACAAACCTTAGACTTGAGCTGACACCCAGGTTTTAGGAATTCCAAGATGCTGAAAGATAGAAATATCAAAATGCCAAGCATCATTCTAGAAATTAACATATTGACTACCAACAATTAGAATTTTGAAGAACAACATCATGCCAATCATTAATGTCAGGTCAAATAGATGAAGATTTATGAACAATTCTTTGATTATACTTATTTAGAAAACCCGCTCTCATAACTTGAGACCAATTCAAATTACCATAAATTAAACTCCAAACCAACTTAAGCATGTTTATATTGTTTTCTTCTCTAAGATTGATCACACCATCATGCTTATGAGATCACAAAGTCTCCCATTTAATAGTCATAACGTAAGCTTTCAAGATATCTTCGGTCTGGATGTAATTACAAATCCAGTCCTCCACCTTTTAGAGCAAATTAATTGGTCATTTATAAACCTAAAAGTTGCAATGAATAACCCCAATAATAATAGAACTAATCGATTGGATCCTACCCATCATACTCAACAACTTACCTTTCCAATAGCTCAATTTATTTTTAATATTATCAGCAATAAGTCTAAGAAATCTAGATTTATGCGCACCTTGAAAAAGGGGAACACCCAAACAAGTATCTAAACCCAAGATACTTTAATTACTTTATTAAAGGAGATAGGAGTGTTGCCAGTGTAAAAATGGCTTTCAGCCCTATTGAGCCACTGACCCGAAGCAGAGCCATACATCTCAAATAGCTGCATGATACTTCCTAGACTTCTCTTATTACAAAAGCATCATTTGAATATCAGAGGGAAACAGAGTACCTTTAAGATTCACCACAAGGAGGATGTGCTTTGAATTAACCAAAAGCTTTGAATTAACCAAACAAGTATCTATTTTTCTTGCTCTTCTAGGAGACAATGTTCCTTCTAATGAATGCACAATATCCTGTTGTGGATCCTTTTTCAATAGGACAACCAACTGAATCTGCACTATTTCAGTGCCACCACTATGGTCAACTTTGATACTTATACAAAGCATGTTTTTTACTCAATAAAAGAAGTATGAAGTGTCAACCGAAAGTAATGAGGATAGCCTTGCCTACACAAAAGTAAAAGCTAAACCAAAATATAATGGAACTACAAAAAGGGCATCATGAGTATATATTTAACATCCCACTTCACTGTTCATGGCATATTTTAATTGCTTTCATTTATTTTTGTGTTTTTTTATCTAATTTATTTCCATTGTATTTTTTTTTAGCTGATGGAGAAGTTGAAAATTCTTAATCTTAGCCATTCTCATTATTTAACAAAGACACCAGACTTTTTGAATTTGCCTAATCTTGAAAAGCTTATACTCATGGATTGTCCAAGGCTGTCTGAAGTTTCATATACCATTGGTCATCTCACCAAAGTTCTACTAATAAACTTTCAAGATTGTATTAGCCTTCGTAACCTTCCAAGAAGTATCTATAAGTTGAAATCTCTTAAAACACTCATTCTTTCGGGTTGTCTAAAGATTGATAAGTTGGAAGAGGACATAGAACAGATGGAGTCTTTGACAACCCTTGTTGCTGACAAGACTGCTATAAGAAGGGTGCCCTTTTCAATAGTCAGATCTAAAAGTATTGGATATATTTCATTATGTGGTTATGAAGGATTTTCCTGCGATGTGTTTCCCTCTATCATTTGGTCTTGGATGTCACCAGTAAATAGTCTGTCTTCTCGTGTTCAAACATTGGTGGACATGTCTTCTCTTGTTTCTTTAGATGTACAAAATAGCAGTTCCAATCAGCTATCATATATATCTGAGGAGCTTCCAAAGTTTCAAAGTCTTTGGATAGAGTGTGGTTCTGATCTTCAACTTTCTCGAGATACAACGAGTATTTTGGATGCTTTAAATGCGACAAATTCTGAAGAATCGGAGTCATATGGAACAACATCACAAATGCAGAATGTATTTACATTAATTGAAAGCAATTCAAGATCTAAATTGTTTGAGAAGACACTTTTAATTCAAATGGGAAGCAGTTGGGAAATCACACATATTCTGAAACAGAGAATTTTGCAGGTTCGTTTCTTTCTCTTTCTCTCTTAAATGCATCTAATTATAATATTTTTATAAAATTAAAAAATCTACTTATTTATGGCAGTTGAATTATTTTAATACATCAATTATACACTGCCAACAGAAAGATTTAAAGATGATATTTTAATCACACTACTTTAAAATTATCATACAACAGATTTTATTTAACTTCCATCATATATTCTGCTATTAAAAGAGAATAATAATGACATTCTTATGCATAACATTAAATCTCTTAACAACTTCCTTCATCCAAGTTATCATCATTTAGGATACTGTTTGGCTAAGAATCATAATTTTAGTTCATGATAAAAGGATTTATTATCTTGTTTTATAATAAGTGGTATTGATGCAACGATTGATGAACTTTCAGCACATATATCTTTATTTTTACAGAATATGACTACGAGTAATGGCGGTGATTGTTTGCTACCTGGTGATTGTTTGCTACCTGGCGATTGTTATCCAGATTGGTTAACTTTCAGCAGCGAAGGTTCTTCTGTGACTTTTGAAATTCCTGAAGTGAATGGGCGTAGCTTGAAGACAATGATGTGCCATATCCATTATTCTTCCTCAGACAGTATAACATCAGACGGCCTGAAAAATTTGTTGGTGATAAATCACACAAAGAGCACCATTCAGCTTTATAAGAGAAATGCATTAGCGTCGTTTGATGATGAGGAGTGGCAGAGGGTACTATCAAACATTGAGCCTGGAAACAAGGTGCAAATTGTTGTTGTTTTCTGGAACAGAATAACTGTTAACAAGACATCAATTTATCTTATATATGAGGCAATTGATGAAAAAGTAGAGCACTATCATGCATCAAATATGAATGTTCCTAGGTCGATCTCTCCCGGAGTGGAATCCATGGAGGACTTGAGGGGTGCTTCCGTTAAAAGCTTAACTAAACGCTTATTGAACGAATTCTTATCATGTAAATACTTTTGTAAAGGGAAAGTTGATAAGAAGAAAAATCAAGGTTAAAAATGGTGAATGAATGTTTTTATGGTTACTGCAAACCTTGTAATAGTGTTTACCTTTTGCTCAGTCATGTACAACACCTATGTAAGCAGATACTGTGCTCTGCAGATGACCTTGTTGATGATTTAAAATATTAAAATTGCGCCTTTGATTTAAATCTTAGGAAAGAGTCCAATTTCAGGATTTCCTAATGTTTTAGACGGCCTTGTTTTGATGGACTGAGAAGGGATAACACAATTTCTTTTTCTCACCCCGGTTTCTTCCTGTATCTCCATGGGTGTTGGAAAGGTCTTAAATACTGTGCTTTATATTTTTGGTCTGTGGAGTTTGATGATATGTTATATAATACGTTTATGGATTACCATGTTGTCAGAAAATAAATTTTAAATTACTCTGGATTATATATTTGGATTCTAGGTTTATATAATTTGGAATGTGTTTTCTGATTATGCGGATTCAAAATAAATTTTTACATTATGTAATCTATATTACATTTATGGATTTCATAATTTGAAAATATATTTCAAATTTTACAGTTAAGAATGTATTTATAAATTATTTAATCTAGACTACCTAATTTGAAAAAAAAAATTAAATGTACAATCTAAAGCATATTTGTGGATTAAGAAATTTGAAAATATATTTTGAATTGTACACTTTAAAAATACTTTTGAATTGTATACTGTGGAATATATTTTGAATTTGGAAATATATTTTAAATTGTAACATCTCTAATAAGTTTTTTTGAGTTTGCAATTCAAAATATATTTTTTTAATTTCAGGTTATACCATTCAAATTGAATTTATGCATTATATAATCTTAAATTATTTCAAAGAAATATAGTAGAGAAAGCTTTGGAAAGATCTCATTGTTATTTGAATCTAGTTTTATCATAAGTTCATCTAAAATTTATTTTTAGGGATTGCTTTTTAAAGCCATAAGTTTCTCTTACACGTAATAGGATTGTTTAAAAGACAAACTACCCTTGAACCTTTCTTAGTTTGTCTTCTATTATTATTTTTTCTTGTTTATTACACTCTTAATGATTATTAATGTTACAATTTATTTGTGTTGTCGTCGTCACCGTCATTATTATCCTATTGATTATCGTCACAAATGTTGTTACTTTTGTCATGAAAGATGTGAGATTTACTTTCTTTATTTTATATTTGTGGGTTTTTCACATGATTTAGATTGGTTGATTTACAAATTTCTTAGATAGAAGAATTCTGTAAGTGTTTTTGGAATTTGCAACACTAAAATGTTTTTAGTGTGTAGAAATTTTCAGATTATACATCATAGAATGCACTTCCTAAAGTGCTTTATATATTGTAAAAAATCTAGAAATTCTCTTTTAGTGTAATAAAAGACTTTTATATTAAGTATTGAGGAAGGAACTTCAAGATCTATACTCTATTTTGTATTGTACGGTTTAGAAGCCCTTTTCTGCATAAAAAAGATAATAGTTTGAATTGTACAAGCTAAAATGATAATATTTTGAATTGGCAATTCCTACTCAGGGTTTGTTATCTATTAAAGTATGGTAGCTTTATTTGTTATAGTTGATATTATATATTTGATTTCCTTAATTTTCTCCCTCTTTATGTGAATATATCATATCACTTCACTTGAAGTTGGCTTACCTTGACTTGTGTTCTGGACACCACTGAAGAAAACCTAGAAATCTTATTCAATTAAATCTTGAATCAAAAGAAAAACATGCTAACCATACTAGAATTGTAATTGTTGACCCTCTTAATTGGTGTAGCCTACCTAAGAATAAGGTATTCTAACTTTGTGCTTTATAAAAGGTTTGTTTTACCATTGCACCAACGGTTGATGAATAACATCTTCATTTTTATTCATTGTTTAAAATTGTCAATCTCCCCTATAACTTTGTGGTAGTTCCACTAGATGATCCCTTGGAGCTTTTATAAGTTGTGAAACATAGAAAACAGGATGTATGAAACTATTCTGGAAGTTGTAATAAGTTGAATGAAACTACTCCAATTTGTTGTAGAACCAAATAGGGTCTATAATATATGGCTGCTAGTTTAGGATGGAGTCTATTAACCATGGTAGTGTTAGATCACTCTATCACTACTAGATCCAATGTTTAAATTCCCCTTCCCATTACGAATGTAGCAGGGTTTGTTTAGATCATGATGATTGGATTGGATTTGAACTCTGACTCATCTCTCATATGTCGTCAGTTTAGAAACTTCAATTGATCTAGACATATAGGTTGCAATGCAGATCATTAATCATGTGCAAATTGCAATTGCTTGTTTGAGTAGGATTATGTGATGATTGATAAATTGATACTTGATATATAGTCTTTATTTTTGCATCTTTTTCCCCAAACCTTTTTTTGCTCCACAAGTCCCGCTAGTGTATTGTGATTAGTCCTAGTATATTGTGATTAGTCATGCACGAAACACATTACGAAGATTGGCCGATTAACCTCATAACCTACTGGTCCAATCTTTAAGAGAATTTGGTATGATCCAATAAACTTAGAAAACAACTTTTTAGACTTTAAAGTTCTTCCTACTTTCGTGTAGTTGTCACTCGTAGAAAAACATGATCCCCAACCATGAACTTAAGAGGTTTCCTCTGATCATCATAAGATTTCTATTTACTTTGTGAAGCTTTCATCCTTTCTTAGATTAATTTAACTGTATCTATAATCTGCTAGCAACTCAAGTCTTATCATCCATGTTTACCCGTCTTGATATCAACATTAAAGAGTTTTACATTTTCTTCCATATAATGCTTCATACGAAGTTATCCTATGAAAATTGTTATTGTAAGTAATGTCTACCAAGAGTAACACCTCATCCTACCTCCCATGTTATTCAACACACATTTTCAACATATCTTACAACGATTCTATAATTCTTTTGGTTTGTGTTGTTAGTTTCAGAATGATGTGTACAAATCATCATAAATTTATTCCTCAAAGTTTCTCGCAACGTTTATCAAAATATCACTATCTAATACAATGCTAGTTGGAAGTCATGCATTATCACATTATATAATTGTGCCAACTTAGCCATAAACCTTGTAGAATATTCAACTATCGAATATCATCCCAATTGTATCATGACGATGCAAAACCCTTAGTAAATAAGTAACACAATTCCTATATATACAATCACATGTCCACTTATCAAGAACTTCTAACTCCTACCCTTACATGCTAAAATAAATTAATATTTACTTTTTATCGTATTTGAGTGTTAACATATTTCAAATATTTTGCTTCAAAATTCAACATATGAGGATAATATGTTGCAAATAGAATAATAGGTAATTTTAGGTTTATTTATTTACAAAATTTAGGTTATAAAAGAGATTTTAGTTATTAAAATTATTTTGTGATTTCTTAGAACTAGTCAAATGTATTATGCTTAGAGCTATTATTTTGTATACATATTTTGGATTAATTTCAAAACAAGCAATGTAAAGAAACTTCATATTATAAGTTGATTATGATCATAGCCAACATAGAAGGTAGAGATCAGATATGAAAAGTATAGAAGGTAGAATTCCAGTAGTATATAAGGTTGAAGCTTCATATATATCATTCAGATAAATAAATGAAAGTACATCTCATTTCTCGAGCCCATGTAAAATGGTCTTCTTTTTTACATTACATCCGTTAGATAAATGACAATACTTTATCAAATAAAAGATTTAGACAGGTTACACATAAGAAAGAATACAACAACTACTTAAAAAAAAAAAAATCTCTACACTTTTGACAGTTTTATTAACTTTAGAAGCAAAACAAATATCGTTTATTTTGTTCAATGTACTGTGAACATATTGCTTTAATCTTCAAACATATCCTTATCTAATTAAAGGCGTGAGGAAGTATGCCACGTACAATAGCTGCAAACAAGGAAAAAAAAACACATCAATACAAATCACGTCCAAATATGTTTGTCAAATGATGAACTAAGTATATCTTATATTATAAACATTATTTAAGAGTATTATTACCTTCCAAATCAGCATATAGTAGGATCTAATGGAAGCTTTGTCACTCAAATCTACAAATTTGGCTTGGTTCCAGAGAATTGAAGCAAGAACAGCATTTCCCAGACCCTAAATGTTTCACACCCAAAAAATTTCAAGCATTATTGAAAAGATTTAAATATATCTGTTATACTAATAAAATAAAGAAATTAAGCATGATATTTAAAAAAAAAAAAACAATTCTAAGAGGTGACATTATAATCTCTCTGTTCATGATTACAATGTATACGTGTGAAAAGTGTATATTACCGTGACAAGTTTAACCCAAAGGTGAGAAGATGATAGTCCTGCCAGAATGGCAACTCCAAAAGCAGATTCGAAAATGGAAACACAAATCCAGAATACCTAATAATTAAGGAAGATTGGTTAGAAACATCAAAGAGATGTGATTTATTCAAAAAAAACATCACATGTTTTACTCAAAAAACCATACCTTTTTTTGACCTAAACGTGTTGAAAAAGATTGGATGCCAAATGCTTTATCTCCTTCAATATCGGGTATATCCTATATAATAAACATCCAATAAAATATTTTATACTAGTCATATATCAGACCAAAAAAAATTTGATGTTTGAATAATGTATGTATAGTTTGAGAAAGAATAAACCTTTACCTTGAACAGTGCTATACCCAATGAGTATATGCTTGTGAATGCAACAAAGAACATCAGTGGCTTTGGAAAGGCAACTGCTCTCTTCAACACAAAAGTCTGGACAATTTCACACAAATCATTTCATTAAAAAATAAATAAAAAATACTCTTCCCTTGTTTTTCTTATACTTTAATTAATAATATTGTATATGACAAACCTTCATGTGATAGAAGAACGAAATGGGAAATATAAGAGCCAAAGTAGTATATATGCAAGTTGCAGCAAGCAGTGGATTTTTCTTCCATCTCAAGAAGGGACCCTGAAAAGTTACAAAATAGTGTTATTACAAAAAAAGAAAATTAAGAACATTAAAACTTAGTCAAACAGAGGAAA